GTAGTGCTTCAGTTCTGTGGGAAGTGATTGCAGAAGCGCATCGTTTTTCTAGCTGGAAAAATCCGTTTGACAAAAGGCACACTTTTACGACTGTCTCCTGCAGAAAGACAACTGAAGAACTACAATGTCATGCAGTAAGGCATGGAGAAAGCTGCTACTCTCCGACTCCATTTCCACTTTGTTTTCTCATGCAATAAGGCTCCACATGCAAGGCATGTGGATTTCCTGTCCCAGGAACAGCTCAGTGCTGCTGGGCCCATCCTGTTACAGAGGTGCAAGAAAGGCAGCCCAGAATCCTTGGCTTGTCATCACATGTCAAAAAAGCACCACCTGCCCTTATATCAGCCTCTTCTTTCCAAATTGTAAGGTCCAGGCCCATTCTGAGGCTTTCAGCCTGGACTACAGCTGGAAAAAGGGGTCACTTGTTGTTCTTCCATCTCTAGCACATAGTCAGTCAGAGTTGGGGCAGGGGCAGAGAAAGAACCATTGTAAAGTCGTGTTTTACTTACAGGCTGGAATCCTTTTGCCTCAGCAGGATTTATCCTAGCTAACATAATGTCACTCTATTCTGCTTTGGTCAGACCTCACCTGTGATACTGTGTCCAGTTCTGGGCACCACCAGTCAAGAAGGATGTGGACAAGCTGGAACATGTCCATAGCAGGGTGACTTAAAATGGTGAAAGGTCTGGAAGCCATCAAGCCCTACAAGGAGTGGATTAGGGAGCTGGGTATGTTTAGAATGAGGGAGGGAAGGTTAAGGGGTGATATGATAGCCCTGTTCAAATATTTGAAGGGATGTCATATTGAGGATGAAGCTTATTGCTGCTCCAGAGACTAGGACACTGAGTAATGGGTTCAAACTACAAGGAAAGAGATTCTACCTAAAGAGCTATTTGCCAGTGGAATATGCTGCTTCAGAGGTGGTGAAGTCTCCTTCTTTGGCGATTTTTAAGCAGAGACTGGATTGCCATCGGTCACAGGAAATGTTTTGATTGTGTATTCCCGCATAGCAGGAGGGGTTGAACTGGATGGCCCTTGGGGTTTCTTCCAACTCTATGATTCTATGATCCTAGTTTTTACAGTACTGCACAAGGAGAAATGCCAGGGGCTAGAATTGGTGACATACATATGTGTAACTTGGAGTTATGCACATGCACATGTACCAGGAGTGCATGAGGAAGATCAACAGGGCCTGGTAGCTGATGAACCAGACCCCTCAGCCACATAATATGTCTTTGCAAACCTCCCACCTTTTGGCCATGATGTAGTACCGATCCACGGGGGTCCCTAAGGCCACATTGATGCCCCTCACAGTGTTGATGTTGCGGAAAACAAGTATCATAGAACGGGGAAGGTCCTTCAGGACTTGCATGATCCGGTCAAAGCGGTTCTTGGCCATGTCTTGCATGTAGGCTGTCTCCTCTCGTGTCAGCACATTGGAGAGCGCCAACTCCGTCATGTTGATGGGCCGCTGAAGCAGGATCTCACAGAACAGAAAGTAATCTTCAGCTATGGGGGAGGGGGGGCAGGAACAGGAGATCACGTGTGGGCAGTTAGATATGGACACACCTCACAACTTGTTTAGCACAAAGCCCAAGACAAGGGAGATGGATGCATAAAATGCTTCATTCAAATCTTGCCTTTGGCATGAGCTCCATGGGCAACTTTAAGAAGGCTACTGTACACTAGCCTGCAAACTTTCAAAGCTCCACTGAAGGAGAAGGTGGAGTGAAGGAGGAGGGGCCCACCTGGATGAAAGCCCTTCCATGCCATCTGAACTAAGGACTACAGCTACAACATCTTGATCAACTGAGTTAAAAAAAAATCTCTCCTGTATCATTTTTAACACTTTTGCCTGATGAAGCCTGTAGAACATCAAAAGCTTGCAACATGTATAATGTGCATTTTGGTTGGCCCACTAAAGGTATCACTGTCTTGTGGATTTTAGATGATACTGTACTACACTGGAAGACATTTATGCTCTGCCAGCACCAGAGAGCATCTGAACCACAGCAGAGAAGAGGCAGCACTATCCATCCAAGAATAATAGAGTACCAGAATGCCTGACCTCCCAGTGGGGGAGGATGGAGAGATCTAACCCCACTGAAGCCACATTTGGGAACACTTGAACTGCACCAGTTCACTCCCAGTACAGAACCCTAAGTCCCAACACTGTCATCCGCTCCACCTACCTTTCACTCCCAGCTGCTTGGAGTAGAACTCCATCTTGCTGTTGTCCCGCAAAATGATGGCCCGCCAGAGTTTGCAGAGGGCTTCCCGTTCCCTGGGAGAAACACAAGACAGTCAAAGTGTTAAGGGAGTTTTAAAGACAGATGTTTATGCTTCCTTGTTAACTGAGGAAATTCATCAGTCTGTGAATAACTCTGGCTTGTATCAACATCACAGACTGGAGTAAGAGTTGGACCTAGACAATCACCACATCAGCAGATATATTTATTGATTTTAACGTATATCCTACTTTTCTCCTGACGGGGTTTACAAAAATGTTAAAAACCAGATACAGGCTGAGTTGTGTTTTGGATTTCAGATTGTTTCTCCAAATTTTGGAATACTTGCATATACTTAATGAGGTATCTTGGAAGTGGAGTTCAACTCTAAACACAAAATTCATTTATGTTTCATATACACATAAGTACAAAGATAATTTTATATATAATATTTTAAAATAAGTTTGTGCATGAAACACAGTTTGTGTGTATTGACCCATCAGAAAACATATCACAATCTTAGCCACCCATGAAAACAATTTTGCATTTTGGATTATTTTGAAATTCTGGATAAGGGAAATTCAACCTGTGCAACTAAAAATACCTGTTGATACAGAAGTTTTAAAAAATCCAAAGGGCTGGTATTCTGTTAGTTTTGATGTTGTTAAGTTAGATTTGGGATACTGGAACAGCTTTGTATTTTCATTTCCAAGTGTGGTACTACTGCCACAGCCACCAATGACCCTAAAGGCCACTTTAAAAGACAGGAAGCCATCTGGAGCAACAGAGGTCTGTTCTTCTGGAGAGCTGGGTCCTGAAGGATGACACAGCCAGCCCCTTTTTGACAGAAAGTGAAACTATGGTAAAAAATTGCAAAAGGTCCCTACAGATTCAAACTACAGGAAAAGAAAACAAGCTTGTTCCATCCTCAATATGACATCCTTTCAAATATTTAAACATGGCTATAATGTCAGCCCTTAATCTTCTTTCTTCAGGCTAGACATACCCAGCTCCCTAAGCTGCTCCTCATCGAGTGTAGTGGTTTCCAGGCCCTTTACCATTCACTGGTTTCTTACCTCTCATGGAGGAACTCATACAGCCCATGATCGAGAAGAATCAGTTGAGCCTTTCCGTCTGGGCCCTTTTGTACCAGCACTGCAAGACAGAAGAGGCAGGAGATGGGAAGAGTCTAGCTTCCATTACTGGAAAATCAGCCTGATTACCTCCTATCTTCCTCATTTCCTTTGCCCTGTTCTTCCAAGAACCTGTTTAGCATAGTATTTGCACAAGTCTCTTGGAATTCATGGAGTGCCCCAATGCCCAATCTTCTAAGTGCTTGACAAATGTGCCTAGTTTCCTTCCCATTTTTTCCAACTGCACCTTTTTTTCTCAACTGCACAATGGGGAAAAGAAACCTTTACAATCTCCCTCCCATATTTTGCAGCCCTTGCGAACAATCCACTTTCCAAACCAATCCTTTATTTCTGATGTGCACATTTTTGTACACAAGACAG